ATGGATGGATGGATGGATGGATGGATGGATGGATGGTTGGATGGATGGATGGACGGACGGTCGGATGGCTTATATTCCATCGAGTCATTTTCGACTCTTAGCAACCACATAGATAGATGTTCTCCAGGAGGATCTGTCCCCAACCTGGTCCTTCAGGTCTTCCAAAGGTTCACCCATCACTGCTGTAACAGAGCATATCACTAACAACTTTTAGTTTAGTTTAGAGCAGTGTTGTCCAAACTTGGCCACTTTAAGATGAGTGGACTTCAACTCACAAATTCCCCCAGCCAGCATGGCTGCCTGGGGAATTCTGGGAGTTGAAGTCCACTCATCTTAAAGTGGCCAAGTTTGGACAACACTGCTCTAAACTAAACTAAAAGTTGTTAGTGATATGCTCTGTTACAGCAGTGATGGGTGAACCTTTGGAAGACCTGAAGGACCAGGTTGGGGACAGATCCTCCTGGAGAACATCTATCTATGTGGTTGCTAAGAGTCGAAAATGACTCGATGGAACATAATCCATCCGTCCGTCCATCCATCCATCCATCCATCCATCCATCCATCCATCCATCCATCCATCCATCCATCCATCTTTAATGTACTCTAAGCTTCTAGGCTACCCAATAGCTGCAATCCTCTGAACAACTTACACAACCAATAATCTAGGACAACTATTCTAAAAATCAAAGCAGATTTGGGAAAGGCACGTCCATGGAAAATTGCTAGATGCTACCCCAAAATGAAAAGACAAAGATAGTTCCTCCCCCATCAAAGATTTTCCTGCCTCCCAAGTCTCCAGGGAACCAGAAAAAAATCTCTAGCATGGGCTTCCTGTCACGACACCAATTAATTTCCATAATTTCTCAGTGAAAGAAAAGCTTTTCAGTGGCTCATGTTGAACTCAACACTGAGGCACGGCGTTGATTAGCAGTTTTCAGTATTTGCTTAGCACACAGAGCTGAGAGATGTTACAGCAGGAGGAAAGCAAGAATGAGAGAAAAAATGCTTGTTGTTATGATTCAGGCTGTAAGAGATTTTCCTCTCCTCTTTCTTTCACATCCTGTTGTTTCAAGATGACCTCAGCATTTATGAGGTTGTAGAAGTTTCATATCTTACTGCTCTGTGGGTTTAAAGCTCGGTGCTTTAACAGGGGGCTAGAAGAGGAGGAAGGGGGTGAAGGCGAGAGATTAGAGAGATACGAATGTTTATTGAAATTAAAATGAATTTACTTTGCACATGTACACGGCTGCCCATCTTAGTCAAATATCTCTGGGCAGCTAACAAAGCATGAAAAAAAAAGCAGAAACATACATATAAAAACAATAGAAGAGACAATAAAGAACACCATGTAAAAATCATCAGTTTTTCAATCAGCACAGGGCAAAAACACAGATATAAAGCGGGGTGCACTCCTGAAGAGCCAGGTTTTGCAAAACAGGATGAGACCATCCAAACTTCATTGGGGATGCTATTCCACAGGATAGCACCACCAAGAGAAGGCATGGTTTGTAGATCCCATAAGATGACACCGTTTCACCGAAGGGACCCAGAAGATGCCCATCCTGCTGGATCTGGTGGGATGAGCAAAAACCACTGGAGACCATCATCCCTCAAGTATCTCAGTTCCATGCCATGTAGGACTTTATAAAGGGCGGCTACATGATTGATAAAGCAATATACAGGCTTGTCATCTGTATCGCTGGATTTTGAGGGATAGTATAAGCCAGTTTTTTTAAAAAAACTGTGCTCCATGGAACCTAGCATTCCATAAGACAGTGTTTCTCAACCTTGGCCACTTTAAGACGTGTGGACTTCAACTCCCAGGATTCCCCAG